TTTTTAGATGTAATGTCCTGAAGGTATCAGTTAAGTCTAACTGTTCTAATGTATGGTTTGGGACCTCTGTTGCCTTGTTGATTTTCTGTCTCAAAGATCTGTTCATTGATGTGAGTGTGGTGTTAAAGTCTCCTACTATTACTATATTCCTGTCAGTTTTGCCCTTTATTTCTGTTAGTATTTGTTTTCTGTATTTGGGTGCTCCTATATTGGGTGCATATATGTTGACAAATGTAATATCCTCTCCTTGTATTGATCCTTTTATTATTATATAGTGTCCTTTCTCTTTCTTTATAACCTTTGTTTTAAAGTCTTTTTTGTCTGAGTATTGCGACCCTGCTTTCTTTTCATTTCTGTTTGCATGCAGTATCTTTCTCCATCCCCTCACTTTTCATACACGTGTGTCCTTTGCCCTAAAGTGGGTCTCTTGTAGGCAGCGTATTGCAGACTCTTGTTTTTTTTATCCCGTCTACCACTCAGTGTCTTTTGATGGGAGCATTTAGTCCATTGACATTAAGGTAATTATTGATAGATATATATTTATTTCCATTTTAAACCTTGTTTTCCTGTTGAGTTTATATTCTTTTGTCCCTTTTTCTTTTTGGTTTTCCTTTTGTGTTTGATGCTTTTCTTTTGTATTATGCTTATAGTTTTTTCTTTTGGATTTTTGTGAATCGTGTGTTTTTGATTGGTGGTTGCCCTGTTTTTCAAGTATGTTAACCCCTTTATCTACTTGCTTTAGACTGGTAGTCACTTAGGCTCAAACACATTCTAGAAAAATAATTGTGATTTTCTCTTTCCTATAGATTCTTACTACTTTTCTATTCAGAGAAGGCCTTTCAATATTTCTTTTAGGATAGGTTTAGTATTGCTGTATTTTTTTAGTTTTTGCTTGTCTGAGAAATTCTTTCTTTCTCCTTCTGTTCTAAATGATAATCTTGCCGGGTAGTGTCCTAGGTTGCAGATATTTCCCTTTCAGGACTTTGAATATATCTTGCCACTCCCTTCTGGCCTGCGACGTTTCTGTAGAGAAATCAGCTGATAGCCTTATGGGGGTTCCCTTGTCATTAACTCTGTGTTTTTCTCTTGCTGCCTTTAGAATCCTCTTTTTTATGTTTAACTTTTGACATTTTTATTATAATATGTATTGGTGTAGGTCTTTCTGGGTTTATCTTGTTCAGGACCCTCTGTGTTTCCTGTATCTGGATATCTGTTTCCTTCTTTAGCTTTGGGAAGTTTTAAGCCATAATTTCTTCATATAAGTTTTCAGTCCCCTTTTCTCTTTCTTCTCCTTCTGGGATCCCTATTATGTGTAGATTGGCACGCTTTATGTTCTCCCATAGGTCTCTTATGTTGCTTTCATGTTTTTCAGTTGGCTTTCTGTCTCATGTCCCGATTGGATGATTTCCTTTACTGTATCTTCCAGATCACTTATTTGTTCTTCTGCATTATTTATTCTACTATTCGTAGCCTTTGGTTCTGCTTTCGTCTCTGCAAATGAATCTCCTAAAGTTTCTTGACTCCTCATTATAGTTTCTAGTTCCTTTTTACAGTTATCTGCATTTCTGTCGATAGCCTTTCTTAGTTCCTTCAGTATTTTCATTATCTCCTTTTTGAACTCGGTGTCTCTTAGACTGAAGACGTCTGCTTCATTGTTTGTCCTTTCAGGGGAGTTCTCTCGATATTTTCATTGGGACTGGTCCCTCTGCTTTTTCATTTTACTTATATGTCTCTTGCTCTATGAGTTTAGGAGAAACACTTATCTCCTGTGGTCTTGGAGGGCTATTTTTATGTGAGAGTGTCCCTGTGTAGCCTGCATGGATTTAATATTTTTTTGGTGCAAGGGCTGTTTTCAGTGTGGATGCCTGCTGCCTCTTTCCTCAGTGTGTGCTGGCTGTTATCCCCTTGATAGGAGGTGCGACTGGTGTTGCGGTGACCGGAGCCTGCACTGGACAGTGAGTGGGGGGACTCCTTCCCTTTGTGGTTATCACTGCCCTGTCCAGGGCAGGGTCTGCTCTCTAGTTGTTGGTGTAGGAGCCCCTAGCTCTGTTTCTGATCTGCAAGAATAGGCGGGATTGGAGCGCTCCCACTGGGAGAGGAGCCGCTGAGTGTTACCGTGCTGGAGCTGTTCACCTGTGAGTGTGTCACCTTTCACCTGCCGTGCGGGCTCACAAAGTACACTGTTGTTGGCACTGCCCTCAGCCCCACCTCAACTGTGGGTATGCTGGCAGTCAGCCCTGGTGCCTCTCAGGCTTTGTTTTCACAAGGCCACCAGCGCAGATCCACTGAAGTCAGGTCCCAGGACTGCAGTCGTTACATACGTGGACCCACTGTGGGAGCTATGGATGCAGCTCAGACCCTGGCCCAGCCCAGCCCCTGCGTGTACGCGCGCACAAAGCCCACAGCTGCTAAGGCCAGACCCGTCCCAGCTGCGGGAGCACCAGTTGTCCGTTTGGTTGTTCCACGGGCCCTGAATTTACAAAGTCGGCCATGGAGGTATAAATCCACGGTTCACACAGCCGCGGGGAGAGATTTCAGCTCTGCTTCCTAAGTCACACGGCCTGTGGGCCTCAGCTGTGATTTCAGCCCCACCTCTGCATCTGGGCAACCCACTGGTATCTGCTTCTGGGGGCACAGGGCAGTGGCTGGGGCACACGAGCCTGCCCAGGCAGGAGGGGACCGGGGTGGCCAGGGTGTGTGACCTGCCTGGGCAGGAGCCTGTCCTGGAGCCTGCGTAGGCAGGGGCCGGCGGGTGGGGAAAGAGGCTGCGATGGCAGCCCCGCCTCTACCTTGGCACGCCACTTAACAATGGCGCTTTGCTGCTGTGGCGGCCCGGGGTTCTTCCGCAGACACTCCTGGTTGCTGCGCCCCATGCTCCAGCCCCTTCAGGCTGTCTCCGCACAGCCAGCAGCGGTCCTCTCCCTGGGTCTGTCCCCTGAGCCCCGTGTTACGGCACCCAGCCCCCACCCATCCCAGCGGACCTGCGTCTCAGGCTGGGGCACACAGGGCGGTGGCACAGCCGTCCGTGTAGGCCTCTCTGTCCCGCCTGCCCCTAAGTGGCTGCTGTGCTCTCCCCAAGCCTCTGAAGCTCCCTTTCTGTCCCGGCCGGTCTCCCCGCCGGGGAGGCTTCCCTGGGTGCGGGAACCTCTCCTTCAGCTCCACCCCCCCAGGGGCACAGGCCTCGTCCCACTTCCTCTGTTGCTTGTTTCCTTTGTCCTGCCCAGTTACTTGGAGATCTTCCTTGTCCCTTGAGGTGTTTGAGGTCTTCTGCTAGTTTTCTGAGAGCATTATTCCATTCATAGATGTATTCTTGATGTTTTTGTGGGAAGAGGTGAGTTCCACGTCCTACTACTGACCATCTTGATTCTGATCGCTAGTTTGATTTTCTTTTTTTCATTTCTCAAGTTAGAAGGTTAGGTTATTGATTTGAAATCTCTCTTCTTTTCCATATAGGCATTTATGACTGTAAATTTCCCTCTAAGCACTGCTTTAGCTGAAGCCCATAAGTTTTGGTATATTGTGTTTTTGTTTTCATTCATCTCAGTTTTTTCTTTCTTTCTTTCTTTTTTTTAAAAAATTATTTACCTATTTATGTGGTCGGTCTGGGTCTTAGTTGTGGCAGGCGGGCTCCTTAGTTGAGGCTCACCGGCTCCTTAGTTGTGGCATGCGAACTCTTAGTTGTGGCATGCATGTGGGATCTAGTTCCCTGACCAGGGATCGAACCCGTGTCCCCTGCATTGGGAGCGTGGAGTCTTATCCATTGTGCGACCAGGGAAGTCCCCATCTCAGTATTTTCTAACTTCCCTCGTGATTTCTTCTTTGGCCTGTGGTTGTTTCGAGGTATATTCTTTAATTTCTACGTGTTTGTGAAAGTCCCACATTGCCTTGTTACTGATCTGTAATTTCATTACATTGTGGTTGAAGAACATACATTACATGATTTCAGTTCTTTTCAATTTATTGAGGCATGTTTTATGGCCTGACATATGGTCCGTTCTGGAGAATATTCCAGGTACACTTGAGAAGAATATATTCTGCTATTGTTGGCTGAGAAACAGTATATAATTAAATTTACTTGGGATTTAAAAATACCTTGCAAAGTACATTCATTTTATAAAAGTGTTACTGTTTTATTATAAAGCTGGATTTTTAAACACAGTTTGAAAAATTAAGTGAGGTATTTGGAACTTGGGAAGAATAATGACATAATGTACTGTATAATACGGTTATATCTATATACACGCATGTATATATGTGTATATGAATGACGTATACTGATAGCTTGTTTCTTGTTATCACCTCCATGTCACCTCTGTTCTTAGTAGGTAAGAGATGGAAGTCAGAATGACGGGTGCTGGTCAGAAACAGCTAAGTATAATTTGTAGTTTATGATATACGTTCTCCCCAGATAAACTAGACGGGTGCCCAGGAAGTAACCAACCGCTACCCTGCCATAGCTGGAGAACAGCACACTTTCTAAATCCTTTCCAAATGATTTTGTTAGGACTAGTGACTTTCGGTGTAGCCCTCTCAGGGGGGATTGCTGGGGAGTCTTGGGGCCCTGGGGTGAGGGTGTAGCTGTCTCCTGTGTCTCTGAAATGCAGCTTGGAGCAGAGAGAAAAGATAAGAGTGTCGACGTTGAATTGTTTAGATGAGCACTGTCCGATAGAGACAGAATGTGGACTCCAAAGCCAACCACATATGAAATTTTACATATTTCAGTAACCACATGGAAATACCAAAAAGAAACAAGCAAAATTAATTTTAAGAATATGTCCAAAGTATACTTTAACATTCTCAGTCAATGTAAAAAACATGACATATCTTACGTTCATTTTCTTTTTCACACCCAGCCTTTGAAACGGGGTGTGCATTTTACGCTTACTGTGCATCTCGATGCAGACGAACCCCGCGTGGCTCCCCCGCTGGACAGAGCAGGTTTAGGTAAGTAGATAAAAGGCGATGTCATCACCCACTAATACTGTTTTCTCCTCTCCTAGGCGGTGAGAAGCTTCTGGGGCCTCAGCAGCGGGACTGTGACCGAACCACGATTGAGGACTGGGTGTTCAGGGCTCCCCACGTGGCCACGTTTCTGAGCGTGGTCATCCACCAAGGCTTCCTCCTCCTGTGCTCGTCCCTCGATCTGGCCGCCCTGGTCCCCGAGCGCCAAGCCGACCAGGAGCGGGAGTTTGCGAGCGTCCTGGATGTCCTGTCCGTCATCTACATCAACTCCCACCTACCCAGGGAGCTGCGGCACCGCTGGCGCCTGCTCTTCTCATCCGAACTCCACGGGCACAGCTTCGCCCAGCTCTGCGGGCGCATCACACACCGGGGGCCCTGCGTGGTGCTGCTCGAGGACCATGACGGCCACGTGTTCGGTGGCTTTGCTTCCTGCTCCTGGGCGGTCAAACCTCAGTTTCAAGGTGAGTCTTGGCCACCGAAACCCCACGTGGTAGCACCAGTGCTCGTTACAAGTTCTGGTCAGACGGCTGCTGTGTGGAGACCTCCGAGCCCTGCCAGGGGTGTGCGTGTTTCTTCCATCTCCTCCCACAAGCGTTTTGCTAGATGTGTTTGGGAGGATAGTGAAACGTGGTTTCTTTACGATGGTTTAACTTCATGGATTTCTTTATAGATTCTGGCTGCAGGGTCAGGTAAGCAGGACAGCTGTCCTCACCCCTGGATTTCAGGTGAGGAAACAGCGGATCAGCATTAAACGATGCCAGGTCCTGACCACGGGCGAGGCTGGGCCGTAGGTGCTGCATAGGGGACTGGGAGATACCGGCTCTTGCAGGTGGGGTGTATTTTCTCGGGGGATCGTCTTCCTTTCCTGGACCCCCCTGTGTGGGTCTGCTTTGCTGCTTCTGCCCGTGGTTTTTCGGTTTTGTGATTTCGCTGGAGATTGGAAGCTCTTTGCTAGACCTTGAATGCCCTGGATGAAAGGCCCTGATGAAATACTGCCCCTCCTCAAAGAACTACTCTGATAAACGCTCTTAAAGGACTCCTTTTGAAAACGCTCATCTCCTGTCAGTGGGCTGTTCTCATACTCAGAGGTGAACCTGTCTTCCCAGGATTGATGGCACTGTGTGTCCCCTGGGACCTGCCCCGGGCTGCCCGCGTCTGTATTCTCAGAAGGTCTCCCGGGGGCCAACAGCTGTGAGATCGAGGGCTTTTCCTAGTGGCTCTGAGCAGCCAGATACAGGCCTGTCCTCACTCCCCTCAGCTAAATGGGGCAGCCTGGCCAATGCAGTTCTGGGGAGGGTCCCTCCCAGTGAGGGGGCGAGGCTAACACCCTCCCTGGCTGGGTCAGTGGAAGGGAGAACCCAGGGTCCTGAGATGCGAAATACCGGGGAGAAAGGCCACGTGCTCCTCCGGGATGGGGGCTGCACATCGTAGCCAGACAGCTGTCAGCTGCATCCACTCCGCCTGCGTCCCCGATCCCCCTTCGCCCCACCCACTCTCGGCTGCATTGCTGCGGGTGCCTCTTCTGCCTGGCCCTTGCCTCCCGGTCCAGTTCATGTGCCGCATCCCAGCCCGCCTGCCGTGGTGCTTGTCCCCTGGAGACCCTTGGACGGACCCCCAGTGCACTCAGAATGGTGAATCCTTTATCTCCAGCCTCACGACCTCTACCGTGCCCTGTGCCCTGGGCTCAGCCTCACTGAATTACCCAAAGTTTCCAGAACAGGCTGCGCTCTCATCTCAGGACTTGGCACATGCTGCTTTTTCTCCCTCTTCCACCTGTTTGCACAGTCAGCTCCTTGTCGGGACTCAGTCCAGGGTCACCTCCTTCAGGAAGCCTTCCCGACCACACGAGTGCCAGCTACTCCCTGCGGTCCTCTACGGGACTGCACGCTTCTGGAATTGTTCCCATCTTCCTTGCACTAGGGAAGCTTCTGCTGGTTGGGGATCCGTGTCCAGGTGCAGAGGTGCCATTAAGGGAGAGGTTTTAGCAGTGGTGGGGTGGCCCTTGTCTGGGGTGGGTGGAAGGGATCATGGTGTGAAGGCTGGGTGCCTCCATCCCCGAGATCCTGTTGTTTCCAGGGTTTGGTTTTCTCCAGGTTTTAGATTGTTCTAGATCTTTAATCCAGCTGTTGCTACCAGCCCTTCCCCACGGTGTCAGGGTCCCTTAAGACCACCCACGTGTCAGTGAGTCGCTAGGAGGACTCGGGGACGCAGCACAGAGCTGTCATCACAGCTGATCTATTACAGTGAGAGGATGCAGAGCACGATCAGCCCAGGGGCTGGGTAGGGGTTGGGAGGGTGAAGTCCGGGGTAACCAGGCTCCAGCATCCTCTCTAGTGGGGTCGCACAGGACGCGCTAAATTCCCTCAGCCGCGAGCTGTGACAGCACGTGTGCAGTGTCGTCCATCAGGGATGCGTTAGAGCTTCAGCGCGCGGCGTGTTTATTCGGGGAGCCGTTCACACGAGCACCCTCTGCCTGACGCGCACCCAAACCCCAGACTCGCAGGAGGACAGCAGGAGTCCGGCACCAACCCCCCTGTCTGTACACACGGCTTAGGCACAGGGAGCCGCTCGTCATTCCTGGGAGCCGGGGGGAGCCCTCCCCAAATCCACCTTCCCAGACGCTGGCTGAGGGCCGACCCTGGAAGGCGGCCCTTCTGGGGACCCCAGTCTCAGGCCTGGGCTTCCACACACCCAGGTCTCTCTGTCACGGTGTCACTGGGAGGGGCTCTGGGGGGGCGATGGGCTGGGTCTCTGTGTGGTTGGAGGATGTGGAAAAACCCTGAGACTCATTACTATAGACGGAACTTCCGCTTCTTCCAGCTCCTTTAGTATTAAGTCCAGCTCAGCTCTGCTGCGTCTTCATGTTTTATTAACAAGCAGAATTCATCTTCTTGAAGAAAGGTGGAAAAATCAGATTACCAAGTTTTCAAACTTGAGCTCATTCTGTTCCGAAGCGTGAGGACAGAATTCCAGCAGGGGGCAGCCTAGCATCACAGATTCCAGTCAACTTCAGGGCGTTCCTGTCCATTTGTCCCGGGAAACAATCACTGGAGTATTTGAGCCTTGAGATGATGTGACAGCCGCTGGGTCCCTTCATTTTCGCCTCTGTCGTCCATGGGGCAGCTATAGGCCCACAGCTCTGAGCTGAGTCCAGCTCTGTCCTGGGCAAGTTGCTTACCCTCTCTGGGCCTCCGTTCCCCAGAACCACAGGAATGGCAGCTTGTAACCTACTGGGCGATGGGTGGTGGTATCACTGTGAGAGTTGGGTGAGGAGCCCCTCTGTGGAAGTGATGTTTTTACGGGTCATATGACTCCTTGGTCCTTGCCCGGCACCCTCGAGGGCCATCTTCCCCACGGGGCCCTTCTCTCTGGGCACAGACCCCAGGGTGGAATAGAGTGGGGTCCGTTGTAGCCAAGGGGCCCACGCTTTGTGGCCCCATCACCTCACTTAGCATCTGGGACCCAGTAAATGTTGATTGAAAGGCAGCCTTAGGATGGCAAGGCAAAGTGATGCTTAGGCCCAGTGCCCGGGGCCACAGGTGGGACCAGGCAATTCCTTGAGGCTAAACCCAACCTTTTGAGGCACATGGACTCAAGCCGGAGTCTTTAGCCTGGAGGGGAGCCCTGTGCCACCTGGTCCCGGTGACCTCCCCAGGCTCACCTCCCCCTTTCCCCCACCAGGGCTCACACCCTGCGCTATAGCCGAGGGCCCTGCTGTTCCCCCCGTGCCCTGCCATGTCCCTGTGGGGTCCCTCCTCCATGAGTGGCTCTCACCCAACCGTCTCCACCTCAGGACGTCCTTCCCGACTTTGGGGGAGCTAAGTCCCCACAGAGGCCCCCTGGGGTCCATCTTGATCGGAGGCCCGAGCGTCACTGATCCTGACTCTGCAGGTCCAGGCCCATCTGTGGCCGAGGGCTGTCCTCCCCAAGGCCCCTCTGGGGCTCAAAGCCCCTTTCCTGTCCGCCCTCCACATCTGGGCTTCCTGTCTGCTTCCTGGAGCTTCCTTCCCACCTGACGAATGGCCCGACCCCCAAGTACCTGAGCTCGGTCCTGTGTCAGGTGCCCTCACGCTGTCACCGTCAAGGGGCTGTCCTTCCGACCAAGGTCTCACAGCTGTGGGGAGCATCCCTGGTTTGGCTCTGGCCTAGCCGGGAGTTCCCTTGGTGAGGTGCAGCCTCTGTCCCCTCCCTAGTGAGTGCTTCGGGGAGGGCAGGAGTCTCTGAGATGGAGGGTGCTGTTCATTTCCAGGATTTTGACTGGTACCTTCTCTGATTGGTGGCATGCCCACTCCTGTGCCCGGGCAAAGGTAGAGGGTCCCCCTTCCCTGCGTGTCCCCTCCCCTCCCTGTGGGCAGCCGTGTCTACAGGAACCCTGCCTTCTCCGCCCTGGATGATGTGCCTACTTGAGGCCGCGTGAGTGCCCAGCCAATACCTGGAGTGGCCGCCTGCCCCTCGCTCCTCAGTTGAGACGAGGCTACTCTTGCTGACTCTGGGGCGGCGGGGCAGGGCTCCCATCTCCCCGGGAGAGCGGGAGAGCGCTAACAGGTGTCCCCAGCAAGCAGGTGTCACATTCCTTTGTAACGGTCACTCTCATCCTGCCCCCGCAGCTCATCCTACTGGCCGGCCGGCCCTGCCCCCGACGCGCAGGAGCCCCACGCACGCCGAGGACCTGAGGGGAGCCCTTCCTGCTCAGCCATCCAAGCCACGGCCCGTTTCTGTTTCCTGCTTCTCCCCGTGCCCAGCGCTGATGGCTGACCTTGCTTCTCTTTGCTCTGATCAATTTCAGGGGATGACAGGTGCCTGCTGTTCTCCATCTCCCCCAGCATGGCCGTGCACACCTCCACGGGCTACAATGACCATTACATGTACCTGACTCAAGGGCAGCAGACCATCCCGAATGGACTGGTAAGGACCTGGCAGGGCAGGGCACGTCCCCCCCGTGGTGATGCACTGACCCCGACGTGCCCGAGGATGCTCCGCCCTGCGTCAGGGCAGCCGTACGCGCTCAGTTCGTTCTGCCCGAGTCTCAGGGTGGTGATGCGATGAGTGACAACGAGGACAGAATTTCTCCCGTGGAAAAAAGAGGCCTCTGTTGGGGCATTTCCGGGGTTCCTGAGCAAACGACAGACTCGGCCAGTGTTCCTGGCCATCAGGTGGTTGGTCTGTGGCCTTCGTGGCTGGAGATGCTGCCCTGCCTGGGGCACCACCTGGGCATGGAGCCGGGGCTGGGCTCCCCGGACCGTTTGGACCCATTGGGGGTTGTTTGCTCTGTGCTCCAGCCGGGACTCACCACAGGAAGAAGAGAACGCGGGGGAAGGCCAGGGGCGGTGGTGGGGACAGTGCCGGGGTGGGGCACGGGGACGGGTGCCCGCACAGATGCTTAGCTTGGGTGAGAAATGTATGTTCTGGCAGCACCAGCCTATTTCTTTCCCCTGCTTCTTAAAAAGCCCCTCTCGGGAAATTCCAGCCCTGTCTCTGCAAAGCCAAGGGCCAGGGAGGCTGGTCCATCTTGTCGGTGTGGAGAGGGCCCCGTGCTCCTTCCCAGGCTCACTCTGAGGCTCTCATGGGGCCACCTGATGACCCCGGACGCCTTTCAGAAAGGACAGTTTGGGGCTTCCCTGGTGGCGCAGCGGTTGAGAGTCCGCCTGCCGATGCAGGGGACGCGGGTTCGTGCCCCGGTCCGGGAGGATCCCACACTGTTGATTAGGTAACCATGTCTTTAAATCTAGGAGAGGGCTGTAGTTCCAGCTCATTAAATTTCAGTACCCAGGCAGTTTCCTTGGAGTCATAGGGATCCTGAGATGAGTCAGCCATAACCTCTGCCCTCAAGGGACTTCTAGTCTCATAGGAAAGAGAAGATACAGACCAGTAATAATCCAAGATAGAATTTGTCAAATGTGGTAAGAGAGGTAAACAGAGAGCTCTACAAGTTTAGGAGTGGTTGAGGTTACCATTGAGTGGGGGTAGGGAGATCAGGTGAGGACTGTACCAAAGAATCAGGTGACAGTTAAGTGGGTCCTGTCTCCGGCAAGGATCAGGCAGGCTGGGCACAGGAAATGAGATTTTTCTGTTACTTTTTTTGCCAGATGGAAAAGATTTGAAAGTGGTTGAGGGGAGATTACAAAAAAAAAAAAAAAAAGAAAGGTCAGTTTGGTGATGACAGGGGGGAGGGCCTTGGCATCAGGAGCGGCTCCCAGTGGGTCTCGGTGGTGGTCAGTAATCGGCCTGAGGGGAGAAGCAGCCGCTAGGTTAGCTGCGTTTCCTGCCCTGGTTTCTTGCTCGGTGTTAGCTCCAGGCTCCTGGGGCCCGGCTGGGAGGCGCTGTTGGAGAGGGAAAGGGATCAGAGAGGTTGAACAGCCATCTGTTCCCATTAGCCGCTAGCTCAGAGCCGGCCGTGTGCGGAGTGGTTCCCGCCTTCCCGGGGCTGCTGCCTCCTTTCCCTCCCTGCTGTGCTGAGTGAACGACCGGCCTGCTTGAGTACCGGGCCCTGGGCCGGGTACGGATCGGCATCCCTGTCCGGGAAGTGCTGTGCAGAGCTCTCCCCTTATTTTCCCGACGGGGTCTCTGGGCCTGAGGGCCTCTATTCTTTGTCCTCTCTTGTCCCTTGTGTTTGCTGCCAGTGCAGCCCCGTGAGAAAGGGCCGTGGGGTAGGAGTCAGGACACCTTGATGAGTGTTCGAGGAACTTGTCATGGGATACTTAAATTGTATCAATCTGTGAATATGTATTTCACAGTTAAAAAAAAGAAAAGAAAGGAAGAAAATTGCGTTCACTTCTCATACGCCCTGGTGGCATGACGGCTGGGGTGGGCCTCAGGTGTCTGATGCCCCAGACCGAGGCGGTGCTATGCCCCTCCCTCCGCAGGGCATGGGAGGGCAGCACAATTATTTTGGCCTGTGGATCGATGTCGATTTCGGGAAAGGACACAGCAGGGCCAAGCCCACATGCACCACGTACAACAGCCCTCAGCTCTCGGCCCAGGAGGACTTCCGGTTCGAGAAGATGGAGGTGTGGGCGGTGGGAGATGCTTCGGTGACACAGCTGGTGAGCATGGGGGCGTTTCTCCGCTTTCTCGGCTTTGTCCCTTTTACTCCTCCATCTGGAGATGCTTTATTCCAATTTGTTTCCAGCAGCCGTTGCTGGCCAGAGGGATGCCAGTGGGTGCACAGCACAGCAGAGGATGCTGTCTGGGGTCTGTGGAGGTTTAGTAGAAAGAACCACCCCAGGGAGGTGGGATCCCGGGGGAGTGGGGTCTTGTCTGCAAGATGAGGAGGGTCTGGGGCTCCTTCTAGTTCCAGGGTTTGACGATGAGTCGCCGTTGGGGCCCCTGCGCCTCGTCACCTCCCAACGATGGCGTCCCGGGGAGGGGGACTCAGTGGGGCTCGGGGTGGGGAGCCTCTACCACGTTTCCCTTGTGGCGACGGTAGGAAATTCCCCTCTGATAAAATTGACAGCGGCAGGATGTCACTGCCTGGTTTTGGTCACCGAACACACCCTTCCTTCCCTTCTTCCCAAGGCCAAGAACACCAAGAGCATTCTGGACGTGGACCCTACGGCCCAGGCCCTGCTGGAAGTCAGTGGGCGGATTCGCCACAGCGAAGGGCTCCGGGAGGTGCCTGAGGACCAGTGAGGCGGAGCCCCCAGCACGGGCCTTCCTAGAGCTGGAGCACAGCCTGCAGGCTGAGCTGTACTTTAATCCAGAGCGTGCTGGTCACGTCTAGGTGGTCCTGGAGGTGCCTAATTGAAACAGAGTACAGTTCCTCTGATGCTATATATCGATTGGTGGGTGTGTCTTCCCCGAAATCCTGAGTGTCCAATTACCAGCTTGATTCTTGGACTTTGTTCATTTTGTACAGATGAAATCCAAAGACGATGCTGAGACGTTTGAGGCCGACTGGAATTAGCAGTGGTTGGGGATTTGAGTTCTTGCTGTAGGGGAGGGGTGGGGGTCCACTCACTGAGGGTCACTTGGCCTCTGCACAGGCCTCCCAGTTAAAAGCCTCGATGTCCCATTTCTACTGGTAAAGGGCAGAGGTGCTCAGATGGGAATCTCAACGCTTTGGGGAGCAGCTTCCTCTGACATGGAATTTCTGTATTTTGGGGGAAAAAAAAAGCACAAGAGTGTACTAATAGGGGGGTAATAGCTAGAGATTTTGAAGATAACGGTGATATGGGTCTTCAGTAAGGTTCAGTATCTGCCTTTCTCAGCTGTTTTTAACACATTACTGACCAGAGACGTATTAATACGTCTTTTGTTACCCAAACATCGTTGACCAGAGACGTTTCAGTATTCATTTACCTAACAAATCACCGTCCGCAGGCGTTAGTTTCTGCAAAAATCCCCCGGTCAGTGATGAGTTAAGTGAGTCTGTGCTGTGAGCAAATGGGAAAACCAGGAGGTCTCCAGAGAAGCAAAGTTGTGGTTCTCTTACTAATTTAAACGTGGGGACATTCGGGGCCCTGAGGCTAAGATTGCTGTTAATACACGTATGGCCTGTCGCAGGAATTAGTGGTGAGTAACTTGACTGGCCCGGGCTCTTGACCTCCCAGCATCACCCCCAACCCCACCCCGAGGGGATGTTGGGTACTTTGACAGCATGGACTTGCTTTAAACGAACAGTGATCCTGAAGTGCTAGCAAAGATGTTGGTGGGCTGGACCTCAGGCCGAGCCGCCGCGTCCCTTCCAGTCCCTGCATCCCTCGAAGGCGGCCTGAACAATCTCCGGACACACTGAGAATCCCGCCCAGCGGAGCTTTCTCCTTTGCTACCCACTGCCCTTCTGCAGCTCTGAAGAAAATGCTGCCTTGTTATTGAGTTGCCCCCAGTTATAAGCCATAGTAAACCGAGCTGTTTGCATTTTACAGGCTCTGCATTTTCTACCGGGAGGCTCATCAAACTCTGCGCTGAGCCCTGAGCAGAAGGCCTTGCACATGGGCCTTCGGAAGAGAAGTGCTCAGACGGTGACATGCACGCTCGGTCATGATTGATTTTCCTTATAAAAAGCCAGTTTTTAATAGCTTCTCAGGTACATTTTGTGACTTCTTAATTGATGGGAAGCAGATGCAGGATATTAGGATCCTCAGATATCCTTACCGTAATCTGAAGAATTAGGCCCCAAGTCTTCAGTGTGTTACAGAATATTTTTTTAGAAAAATGTAATGAAATAATGCCTCACTAATAAAAGGTCCGTTGAAGACCACTTCCTACCGCCTCTGTCTGTGGCTGTCAGAGAGGCTGGATGTGTCTGCCGGCCTGTTTTCTGCCTTGTGCCTCTTCTAACGAGAGTGCAGGTCATACCTGGGGGCCTGATGGTTTCCTAAGACAGCACACCTCCACGAGGGAAGCTGGGCACCCAGCCCAGGCACTTGGTCACCTGGGGCGTTTGGCGCTCGCAGGGGGTGTGGGGCAGCCGTGTGATTCCCCAGCACATGTGGTCCCGAGCACACAGACCAGTTTGGTGTCAGCCGTGCCCAGGGCCACAGGACCCGAGGAACCACGCTCCTCCTGGGCCTGAGAAACCCGTGATGCTAGTTTTAACGTGTGATGAGTTTGTTCTTTGATAAAATGGGAGTAAGAATTCAGGTTGTAAGAACTAGTGGTCTCCCTGGAGGTGAAGACTCATAAGGGCCCCTGATAGGCGCTGGAAGGAAGGGGTGAAAAAACGCTGTTCACGGTACAGCATGGCTGTTGTTACTTTTTTCCCCCACCATATTTTTTTCTGGAAATTTTTTTCTTTTATTGAATGAAAGAGTCTTTAAATTCTCCAGTGCTTTACAATTTTAAAAGGTTTCACACACATGGTCTTATATAATCCCATAATCCGCCCCCCCACATATTGCCCCTCCTCACTGGTAACCACTAGCTTGGTCTCTGTATTTGTGAGTCTGCTTCTTTTTCGTTTTTTTCACTAGTTTGTTGTATTTTTTAGATTTCACATGTAAGTGATATCAGACAGTATTTGTCTTTCTCTGACTTATTTCATTTAGCATAATACCCTCCAAGTCCATCCATGTTGCTGCAAGTGACAAAATTTCATTCTTTTTTATGGCTGAGTAATATTCCATTATATATATATACGTACACACACACCACATATTCATATGTATGTATATATATGCACACCACATATTTATCCATTCATCTGTTGATAGACCCACCATATTTTTTAATTAAAAAGTTAGCTGATGCATACACAGCCAAAAAGGTCAAAATACAAAAGGACGTAACTTGAAAGCTAAGTCTTTCTCCTGACTCCGCTCTAGCATTTTGTTCCCAAGAGGTAATGTGTTGTACACACTGGTGTGTCCCTCACCTTTTTTTTGGCTGGAAATTGCTCTGTATCTACCCATTTATTCTCATTGTCCATGTAATGTCCCATGAGATGGATGCCCCATCCTTTCTGGTGTTCAGCCATCCCCGGCTGGGGAACGGTCTGTTTGTAGCTAATTGTTACTGGAATGAATATCGTTTATATACATCTTGGTGTGGTTTTGTCTGGCGAATAAACTCTTTGAAGCTGAATTGCTGGATCAAAAGGTACATGCTTTTTTATTTAGGTATTAATCTAAATTAATTTAGGTATTGAATCTCTTTCAGGCTCGATTTATACTTTTGAGACCTGGAATGCTTGTTTGCCGTGTTTTCACCAATGCTATATTAAAATTTAGTTTTTGTTTACCTGATACTTGAAAACTAATTTTTTTTTCTCTTAAGAATGACAGTGAAGAGCTTCATTTTTCAAGAACGGTGTGTGTCCTATCCGTCACCTGGTTTCCTAGGGTGTGGGTGTTATTGGTTTGCAAAAGTGCTTTTTTTAAAAAATAAAATTTATTTATTTATTTTTTTTGGCTGCGTTGGGTCTTCATTGCTGCATGCGCAGGGTTTCTCTAGTTGTGGCGAGCGAGGTCTACTCTTCATTGCAGTGCGTGGGCTTCTCGTTGCAGTGGCTTGTTGTGGAGCATGGGCTCTAGAGGTGCGGGCTTCAGTAGCTGTGCCACGTGGGCTGTGTAGTTGTGGCTCGTGGGCTCTAGAGTGCAGGCTCAGTAGTTGTGGTGCACGGGCTTAGTTGCCTCGCAGCGTGTGGGATCTTCCTGGACCAGGGCTCAAACCTGTGTCCCCTGCATTGGCAGGCGGATTCTTAACCACTGTGCCACCAGGGAATTCCAAGAGTGCTCTTTTGAATTAAGCAAAATGGCATTGGCCCCGTGCGGTAAATGTTTTTTCCGGCTTGTCTGCCTTTATTTTTCCGTACATGAAATTTGCACTTGATGTCATCATATTTGCCAGCTTCTGAGATCTGTGGTTTGCTTAGGAAGTTTTTCTCCACTCTGAGATTAATCAAAAAGAAATACCATGTTTTCTTCTACCACTACTGTGCTTTCCACTTATACTTCAGAATCTTTGATCCATTCAAAATGTATTTTAATTTTTTATTTAATTGTTTTTTTGATTCTCTTTAAAAAATTTTTTAATTTTATATTGAACTATAGTTGATTTACAATGTTGTATATATATATACATATACATATATATAGTTGATTTACAGTGTTGTATATATATACATATATATAGTTGATTTACAGTGTTGTATATATATACATATATACATATACATATATATATAGTTGATTTACAGTGTTGTATATATATATACATATATACATATACACATATATATAGTTGATTTACAGTGTTGTGTATGTATATACATATATACATATATACATATACACATATATATAGTTGATTTACAGTGTTGTGTATGTATATACATATATACATATATACATATACACATATATATAGTTGATTTACAGTGTTGTGTATGTATATACATATATACATATATACATATACACATATATATAGTTGATTTACAGTGTTGTGTATATATATACATATATACATATACACATATATAGTTGATTTACAGTGTTGTGTATATATATACACATATATACATATACACATATATATAGTTGATTTACAGTGTTGTGTATATGTATACATATATACATATACACATATATAGTTGATTTAGTGTTGTGTATATATATACATATATACATATACATATATAGTTGATTTACAGTGTTGTATATATATACACACATACATATATATATATAGTTGATTTACAGTGTTGTATATATATATATACATATATACATATACATATAGTTGATTTACAATGTATTAGTTTCAGGTGTGCAGCAAAGTGGTTCGGTTATACATATATCTCTTCTTTTCCAACTTCTTTTCACATTTATGTTATTATAGAATATCGAGTAGAGTTCCCTGTGCTGTATAGTAGGTCCTTGTCAGTTATCTGTTTTACATATATTAGTGTGTACATGTCAATCCTAAACTTCCAGTTTATCCCCCCATTGCCTTTCCCCTTTGGCAACCATAAGTTTGTTTTCAAAGTCTGTGAGTCTGTTTCTGTTTTGTAAATAAATTCATTTGTATCATTTTTTAAAGATTCCTCATATAAGTGATATCATATGATGTTTGTCTTTCTCTGTCTGGCTTACTTCACTTAGTATGATAGTCTCCAGGTCCATCCATGTTGCTCCAAATGGCATTATTTCATTTTTTTTAATGGCTGAGTAATATTCCATTGTATATAT